CTTGGCCCTCCAGACAGGTCAGATATTCCTTCAGGATTAACCTGAAGACAACCCAAATCTCCAAACCAACACCCCCCTTTACAGGTGTCTGCTCTTAAAGAAGGGTTCATCCAGTAGAGCAGACTCTGCCCTGCAATGTCAATCTTTAGTTGTACTCAACAAGCTAAATACTGACTTCCCTGCCCCGCCAGAACACATAGTTGCTGATGTTCTGCACCAGTCTTCCTTCTGTTTATCATGGAGGAAGGACATAGAAGAAGTGGTAACTCAGGCACTTCAAAGCGTCCAATGATGGTCGCCGCCGAGTCTGACTAATAATAGAAAACATTCCAAAAATGCCTTATAATTGCTGCCTGCATCTTAGCTGGACAAGTGGGGTCAGTAATACTCTTGCAATACTTGTAGTTTTTGCTTGCAATTAAATACAAACTATCAATGTGACCAGGAACTAGAGAGAGAAAAATTCCTTATATTAGACCTACTTTTGCCATCATAAATAAACTTCTTAAATTTTGACACACTGTTTCATTATCCATGCAAAGTTTGTAATTCTAGTCTCCTCCGTCCAATATACATCATTGTCGAAGACTTGGAACGAATTAGGCTAAGACTGGCCAACAAAATGTTCACTACTACTGGAAAGCTCAGTTCATAAACAACAAAATGCGCTATTTCATCACAAGGAGTGATCGTGAAATTGCATAAAATACGCCTTTGTACAAATTCCATAATAAAAATGATTCAAACAAAACACAAAATCTTACAAACAGCTTGGCTATTCATTCCTAAAAGAAGTCCAGAAGAAAGCGTTCGATAAGGGCAACAACTGCACATGAACACTTCGAGTATACAGCCTAATAAAAGCAACTGCGCAAACACTACATTTGATGTTGTTGGCGGTTCATATCAAGCACCAATGATGGCATGAATATTCAACTTCCTATACTGCAGTACACAACGTTTTAGGGATGCAGATTACCAACGAAAAATTGCGGCGACGATCATGGGGTACAAAGGGAGCTTATGGTTGCGAAACAGGTGGTGGATAGCAGGCGTGAGCTGCGCTCTGGCTATGGACATACCTGGCATGGCAGAAAGTGGTAATCGGCCAGATGTTATAGCCCGGGCAGTTCAAACTCCTTGTGTGTCCTTCCTCCATGTCTTTATGTAGGTCACATGACCCCATTTTCTTTACAGCAGGGTAGAGTTGCTCATCCATGTACCTCTCCCTGTTATCCCTGGTCCTGACAATTTGGACAGGATAGATATCTTCTTTTATGTCATTGAGGCTTTTCAACCTGGTGTCGCATTTATCCAGGCTTCTGGCATACATCAACTACAATAGTAATCAGTTCTCTACTCTTGGTGTAATGAACAGAGTGTGCTCCTAATTAAGACACAGATGAATGCTGTAGCTGATTCTTCACTCCTTTGTAACTGGGAACTGCAGTCAGCAATAGCATGTAGCTACTGCCTGCAGTCACAGCTACCCACTGTGTTTCCTCCAGACAACACTGACAACGGGCACTCTCTTACTGGCATATTCACTCAGTGACCCTTGGCATGTCCCCCGGCCCTTCCAAGGTCCTTCTTGGAATCCTTTGAAGAGGCCTCATCACCTCACATATTCGTGAGGCTGGCCTTTCTACTTCCAATAATTACTTCTTTCCTGGACTGTGGTCTGGCAAAGGTATCTGTTACACATGGCTCCTTTTAGGCAGTAACACCACAGCGTTCTCCTCATCCATACCATGGACTACTGCTCAAACAATAGTCATCCTCACCTCTCTGACAAGACAACTTTCTCTTTAATGTCATAGAGTACTCTTGTTCTCCTAATTACAAGCCTTGCTGTTCGGTTCGTAATCCTCGTATGATTTCTGTTCAGGACTCAAACCTGAGAGGTTCTATGATTCTCCTCCTGCCATTACCCTGATACACTTCACCTCTGGCTAGTCAGGTTTCCTCGGCCATTTGGTTCACCTATCCTGAATGGCTAACCTTCACAGACTTCAATCTCAGCCACCCTATTGTAATGCATGTTGCTAGGGTGGTGTACTTTGCCAACATCCTTTTTGCAGTGTCCTTCGGAAGTTACCCGCATGACAAATGCTAGAAACTGTATGGACCTTTACCTCTTGCAAACTTAATAAAGTTTCACAATGAGTTCTTTCCTGGCGTGTCTATACTCACCTCTTCACCGAGAATACGAGGACCCATACTTTGTGAGCTACCTCCAGCTCTACACCGCATCTAATGGTCTCCTCCTTCTACTGTTGACCCTCATCATTCCACACAGGCACACACACTTTCAGTGTGTCCTCGCCTACCCTCCAGGGTACGGCACCACTCTGCATATTTAGTGACTGTTTGGGTAGGTTGAGTGCTGTGGAATCCTCCCCCACAGCAGTGTGGGAAGAGTCTGCTAATAAATACCTACCCAGTCACCACGCTCACGCTCCAAAAAAGAAGGATGAACATGGTGGTGGTGCTGCTATGCATCATGGGCCTAGAGGGCACATTACGGACTACAAGCAAGAAAATTGCTGCCTGTTAAAGAATGTGATGTATGAAGTGAAATGAACTCTTATACAATGGTCAACTGAACATCGTGAACAAGAGAACAAAAGTTCTGTTTTCTCAAAAACTACTGCATTGTGGGTGAAAATATTTTACAGACTGATTAAGGCTGTTATGTACTTTCTTTGAAATAAGATATTTTCAGGATTATACAGTAGTCCGATTTGAAAGATTTCACCAATGGCATACGCTACCTTTGAGGTCTTATCAAGTTCAAGGCTGCATGCTTGCTGGTCCCCATGCATTTAGCACTGCAGTGAAAGAAGTATACATTTTTGGCTGACCCGTCTTGGAAAAATGGACTCTGTGCAGGAACAGTATGTCCGAACTTGGTGTGAAATGACTGCAAAGAGTTACTCTAAAAACTCCCAAACGCTGAACTCCTAAAAAAAAAGCACTGTTGCGATATTGGAAAATATGTTGGGGGTTGAGTGGATTCCCTCTCCCCCCCTCGGGTTGGGTGGATTCCGTCCCCCCCGGCTCTTTTAGGGTTAAAGGAGTATGCTGTTTGTATACCATATTGAAAATAGGAAACTTTATGGTAGTCTGTCAGTTAATGGTAAAATAAAAACAGCTCAAGATATTTGATAGATTTTTTTAATTAATAAGGAACAATTTTTTTTTAAATAATAAGGAAACAAACTTCAAGCAGTAATCTCCTTTTACCAAAGATTCTAATTTTTTTAACCTGTGCTGACATGAACTGCATTATATCAGCTTTGAATCTGGAACCCATCGACTGCCTGTGGGTAAATCTGTGTAACGTTCTAAAATCTCTTTTTCACATGAGCATGGGAAGTGAAAACAAATGTGTATGAACAAGAACACCTAGGAACGATATTGCCGGGAGTGAAAGGTCTTTAATGAAATCTGTTTCTTACCCTCTCCACATGACTTTTCCTAAATATTACTTGAGGAACACAAAGGTGAAATTCCAACACAAGTGTTCTATGGGGTTGTTTAACTTAAGAATCACTCTTCCAAAAATTATTAAACGTCATAGGGATGGCCCCATGTAAAATCCCTATAGGCAGACTGGTCAAGGGTTTTGGAAGCTGTTTGCGTGAGCTTTTACTTTCTGGCTCTGTTGAACCCGACTAGTGCAAACAAGTAGTCCAATAACTTGTCTAAACTTCCATAACATTGGCCACTGCAATTCCTTATTGGTTAATCCAGTTCCAGATCAGGTCAAAACTTCTTTAGGCGTAAAAAATAGTGAAGTTAAAAATCCCTTTTCTGCTAGAACCATCCTATACTAGCAATTTTGGTGAGGAGGCATTAAAAAACAAACTTCTAATAATTTTAAAAAATTAAAACAGAGAACTTGCATGTAAATGCTTTTGAAAATTTCAACTCTACGTGATGGCGTTCAACAGGCATGGATCAACTAATTCTAACATATGCATGTAGCAACCTTTTCCCACTTCCCAATGTTTTGGCCATGTTAGTGTTCCATTTCAAGAAGTACATGTAGATAGCCTAATGTATGTGTACATAGACAGTTCCAGGCCTACATGTACCTTCAGCTTTTTGGCGTAGCTGGACTGCAGAGGGCATGCTGTTCAACCTCCATTGTGTCAATTATCATGGTGGCCACTAGTAATGCTCCTCAGATACAGAACAACATTTTTGTAAGATTGCCACCCTGCAAAAATTTAAAGCCTCAGAGACACTGCTGAAGTTTTCTAATCAAATACAATTTCCACACAATCTTGGGGTAAGGGTGAAAATTTGTTTTTTTGTTTTTGTAACACGTTGAAAAAATACAAGAAATAATAATTACTATATTTGGAAGATTTATAATGCAGCAGTGTCTGCCAAAAATGATGCTCATGGTGCAGTACAAATATAAATAAAATAAAATTAACAAGAAATAATATAACAGTCCTTTGAACAAGTGGGTTAATAGAACAAGTGGGTTTTAAGAGAAGCCTTGAAGTCAGTGATGGAGGAGATGGTGTGTTTATCTGAGGGGAATTTGTTCCATAGATGTGGGCCTGCATGAAAACAGGATCTATTCCCCCAAGAATTATGTGTTTTGGGACAGTAAGGAGGGAAGCATTAAATTTTCTCAAATGCCTGGAGGGTCACTAATAAGCTAGCAAATCAATGTTGTATGTTGGAGGAGAACCATTAAGTGCATGAAAACAAATAAACGAATTGCATGTATGCAGTTTTTCATAGATTTTCGTGATGCTAAGATGTTCACCACTGTTTTCTTTCTGGGAAACAAATATTATTTCAATTCAAATTTTCTTGTGACTTTGTACAGTTTCCCTTTTTCGATACAAATTATAAAAGATTAAAAGACTAATTTTGAAATGACATCTTTATGTAAACAGTATGCTTCACTCTCTAACAATAGCTCAGTTTTAGGTACAAGTATTTACATAATTATTTATGATTCAATTGTTTCACAGATACTGTTTGCTACTGCAAGTGTCCTTTTGCCTGCTGCATTCAACTGTAGTCCTTACTCGTGCTACCTAAATGGAGAAAAGCTATCGTAAGTGTCCCAAAATTAAAGTGCTCTTCAAACTTCATACACAGTTGATTTTTAACCACTTCGTGCCGGGGTATTTTTTAATGTTGATGATGCTGGGCCGGCATGACTATCATTTTTTCCGTTTTCAAAATCCTTCAAAAATTTATCATTTCATTTAACGGTTGTTTATAGCCGCACCAAATAATCTTTAGGCACTACTGTAAGTTGACAGGTGGCCTTCATTGACGCCCGAGTATTTCAGTTACGCCAGTAGCCTTGTAAACAGAGCCCAGATTGTGCTATGTTGTATAACTGTCTTTTGTTCACGAACCTGGCTCAGTGCACTGCTGACCTCTTTTCAATAGGGGCCAGATAAGCGTGCAGCGGTACTGTGTGACTCATCCCTGCGGTGGTGGAGCGCCTTTGTAATGTAACACTGCTCCTATAATGTAACATTAATTGGCCAATAACCTAAAACCAAGTAATTATGTACTAACATAGAAGCCAGTCATGTAATAACTACAGATTTGCTTGTATTTTAGTTTTTGTTTCAATTTTTCAATGGATATTATTCCATTTTGGCACAATTGCATTTCTTTTTCTCTTGAAAGAAATCACAAAGCTTAATTTCAAACTTGACAGAAAGCCTGTAATAATTCAAGAGTGTATCTTGAAAGTTTAATGCAACTGTCTGCAGTGGTACAACTGTACATGAACATGGTGTTTTGGAAAGTATGCTTTATTTGACAATTTCATGACCTTGTCTATGGAAGGCCTTGTGCTACAAGATTATAAAAAGGACCTCATGCATAACGGAGCGCCTTTGATACAAAATGAATGGCAACGAATACTACATTGCCTTAATAAAGGTGGGCAAAAACTACTGTGATGGGTGCGAGTGTTCAATTACTGTTAAGAATGTTTTCCTGTCTTTTTTAATACTTGCACAAAAATGCATTCATGGGGCAGGGGCGTGATAAAGGAGAGTGGGAGGGGGCACAACCATTCGTTCCTGTTGATTGAAGTCATTTTTTAGCTTTAAGTAAGAAACGTGTTTCAGTACTGGCAAAAATTCCAATAAGAAAATATTAAAAACTTTCCTTATTGTACTGCTTGATTGCCCAGGATTATGTCATGTTACATAAAGCTTACATCAACATTTGTTTTGTTGGAACCATTTTACCAGCAATACATTTCTGTCTAAAATACGGATGCTTTCAGTCTGATTTGATGTGTAGTTCTTTAGATATTGGCCTGTAAAGAGTACACCTTTAAGATTACACTGTATGTCATGTGACACAGAACGGTTCATTATAATGTCATCATTACTTTCATCTATAATACATTCCTACCTGCAAAGGTACTTACTTTATATCTAAAAGAAAAATGAAAAAAACAAATCATGAAATTAGTCATTATTATGGCAGTAATATTCACATCTTGGGAGACCTGGTGCCCATACCAAATTTGAAGTCAATATGCTTCAATAGACGGTCTGTAGGAAATTTGCTGAGAATTATCTCGCCAGGAAAAACAGTAATAAGGTAGTCATCTTAACACACTAAAAGATAGGATTGACCATGATGATGAAGTTTAAGTTGGACTAAATTTTCTCCCAGATGTAGGTGGCGCTGACATTGCCAAGTACATTGTGTGCGTGAATGAAGGATCAAAGTACAGTAACTTCATTGTCGGAATTCTGCCCCATTATTGGGAGGGCAGATGAAAGTATGCACTAAACTTCACTGTTGGAATTCTGCCTCCTTATTGGGAGGGCGGATCATAGTATGCACTAAACTTCACTGTTGGAATTCTGCCTCCTTATTGGGAGGGCGGATCATAGTATGCACTAAACTTGGTTGTCGGAATTCTTCCTCCTTATTGGGAGAGCGGATCACTGTACGCACTAAACTTTGCCGTCAGAATTCTGCTTCATAATTGAGAAGGCAGATAAAGGTATGCACTAACTTGAATTTTGCTGTCAGAACGCTTCTTCAACAAAATGTATAGAGATTACTCTTGTTTAATAGCTCAATGGGCAATCATATCGATGTTTTGTTTATTCATGAAAAACATTCCTACGTCATCTATTTTATACACGTTAAATGCCTTTGTGAGTTTTCACAAGTTATTGGACACAAACTATATCAAGAAATTTTGGTAGCTTATTTTACATATAGCTCTATAAAACAATAATGTTTTTATTTTATTAACATTTGAGCTGTTGTGTAATAGCCCAGGGACACCTTGTAAACCAACCAGCCCACCAAACGACCCACCCACCCACCCTATATCTCGTGAAGCACATGTCCGATCTGGTTCTACTCTTGCAGATATCTTAAATGGGAGTTCTTTAGAGGACGATTGACCTTATGTGATGATGACATCATCAGGAGATAAGTCATGTGACATTAAAGGTACACTCTTTCAGGCCTTGAATCTCCTGAAATACATGCTCTCTCTGGTTGAAACTTTGCAAATAATTTGAAAGAGAAGTGTTATATACGAAAAAGGACTTGATGTGATGATGCCTGAGTTGTTGAAATGTGCAATAGAATGCGAAAAAGGCCTCTGTTCTTTTGTCAGACAGACGGAAAAGCTCTCGTTTCTTCTTGTTCCTCTTTCTTCTTCCGCTCAAATGCCTGTTTGTTTTGTACACATTTTTTTCTACCCGCAACTTTGGTGCTTTTTCAACTTTGGATCATCATGAAACTTGCACTAATTAAAAACCTTTATGCACAGATGGTCCTAGAAACATGATGTCATAATGACGTCATCAAGTGTTCGTTTTGGTAACTTGACTATCTTTGATCCTCATCAAAGTTATACCAAACACAGACCTTAAGGCAAAGATAATACTATAATAATTAAGTCGTGATGACGTCACCAAGTTTGTTATTATTGATATTTACATATTTAGTTTAGCCCATTGACTTTGTACACGATTTCAAGGCACAATTTTGGTTACTTGGAGATCTTTATTCATCATCAAAGTTACAGCCGACAAAGACCCTGATGCAAAATAAAAGCCTAATTTATTATGTTGTGATAACGTCATCGCATTATTTTATATTGATTTTTTAATTTTTTCCCCCATAGGTTTTGTACACGTTTTTCTACTTAAAACTAATGAATGAGTAGTCCTTCAATTCGGCACAAGATTACTATAAGAATGAAAGAGAAATCGGGTACTTTGCGCTTTGTTATTTGATTTGAAATATGGCTAAGAGTCTGAATATGAAGTAATATTTCGTAAAAATTGTTCAGTTTAAGAGCAAATCACGTGACATGACAGTGTTTCTCTAAACGAGTTTATGGCCCATTGACTTTGTACACGTTTTCAAGCCACAATTTTGGTAACTTTGCAATATTGGATTATTGACAAAGTGATAGCGAACAAAGACCTTGATGCAAGATTTTTTAAAAATGAATGTCTTGATGATGATGTCATCAGCTTATTTTATACTGAATTTTGAATATTTTATTTTCCCCATAGGTTTTGTACACGTTTTTTGACTTGGCATTAACTTCAAAGCCTTCAAAGTCTGCTAAAGGACATGTCCTATCTTGTTGAAATTTTGCAGATACTATAAAGGAAAGTGTTACAGACGAATGTTGACCTGCTGTGCTGATTACGTCATCAGGAGACAAGTCACATGACATTAAAGTTGCACTTTTTAAGGCCCTATATCTCCCAAAGGAGATGTCCGATCGGGTTCAAATCTTGCAGAATTCTTGAAAAGGGAGTGCTTTAAAGGAATATTGGCCTTGTGTGATGATGATGTCATCAGCAGACAAGTCATGTGACCTTAAATGTGCACTCTTTAACCACTTCCTGCCAGGGACTCCGGGATCAGAGACGTATGGTTTATATGGGTGGCTGGGGTTTCCGCACTCGGATAAAGGAAACAGGGCCCTGTAACAAAAGACCGTACTCCAAACAAAAGAGCAGGCTGCTGGGCATTACTGGCATTTTTCACTCTCAAAAGTGGTGATAATCCAGCCTTGTTTTGAAACCCTATACCAGGTTTTGGGGCATTGAGAGCGAGCGGATTGCCACCGGGGACAAAGCGCTCCACCACCGCAGCGATGAGCCACACAGCACCGCTGCACGCAAATCTGGCCCCTATTGAAAAGAGGTCAGCAGTGCACTGAGCCAGGTTCTTGAACAAAAGACAGTTATATAACACCACACAATCAGGGCTCTGTTTACAAGGCTGCAGGCCTGGCTGAAATACTCGGGCGTCAATGAAGGTCACCTATCACCTAGAGTAGTGCCTGAAGGTTACTTCATGGGGCTATAAACGACCGTTAAATGAAATGATGAATTTTTGAAGGACTTTGAAAAGGAAAAAAAGACAGTCATGCCGGCCCAGCATCATCAACATTGAAAAATGCCCCGGCATGAAGTGGTTAAGGCCCTATATCTCCCAAAGTGCATGTCCGATCGGATTCAAATCTTGCAGATATTTTGAAAAAGGAGTGCTTTAGAGGAATGTTGACCTTGTGTGATGATAACATCATCAGGAGACAAGTCATGTGACATTAAATGTGAATTCTTTAAGGCCCTTTATCTCCCAAAGTACATGTTCAATCAGGTTCAAATCTTGCAGATACCTTGAAAAGGGAGTGCTGTAGAGGAATATTAACATCATGTGATCATGATGTCATCAGGAGACAAGTCATGTGACATTAAAGGTGCACTCTTTAAGGCCCTATATCTCCTGAAGTACATGTTCTATCAGGTTGAAACTTTGCAGGTATCTTGAAAGAGAGGTGTTGTATACCAAAAATGACTTGATGTCATGATGCCGTAGTTGTTGAAATGTACAAAAGAATGCAAAAAAGCCCTCTGTTCTGTTGGCAAACAGAAAGATAAGCTCTAGTTTTTTTTCTCCTTATTCAGTCAATTTTTTCTGGCACAGCACTTTGGCAGTTAGGAAAATCAAACAGACTTCAAACTCGGCAGGTAGTTGGACAATCATCCAATGACGATCCTGGAAGAAATTCACAGTGATAAC